GAAAAGGAAAAACAGTTCTTCAGAAACACAAAAATCCTGGCTAAAACAGAACACCCCGCCTGTATCTTGCTCCTATTGTGCACAGTACAAAATACAATGGAGTGGTATGTGTTTCATTTTTTTCCAAAATTAATATGGTTCAAAGCAACTCTGTGCATGAGACTCCATTTTTCAAGAAACAGGATAAACTATGCTCAAAAGGATGCAGTTATTAATACAGACATGCTATGCTCATACACATATTACTCTAATAGGCTAAACAGACTATATGAACATTTTCTTAAATGTGGTTTTTAAAATTTGGTTTTAAATTAGGTTAATTATGCATGCAATATAACTGAAAACAAGTGCAAAAGAGCTTACTTCAAGAAAGGTATAAGTAACGAAGCAATGGTAGCATGAATCAAAGAAAGCCTAACTAAGTTTAAATCTGCTCGTCACAACCTCAAAATAAGTAATTTAAAATGAACAACTCTTAAATTATCAGTCTACTTACAAGCCTGGGAAAGGATACAAATAGCAAAATCAACTGCTGCCTTTTGTAGTATTGCTCAGGAAATCACATTGGTAACTATTAGCATAAAGGCATGAAAATTAAACACAGATATTAATTTCTACTGAGAAAATCTTCCCAACAGAACTACTGGGTTCAGTCAGGTGCTCACTGGCTAGAGGATGAGACAGAAGGAGTCTTTGCAGTGGTCTAAGAATCTCTGTCTTGGTAAGAACTCACATTTCCTAGCAGCAGAAGGAAGAAAGTTACTTCTCTGACTGGGGGACTTTTTTTTTTTAAACTCACTTGCTTTCATATGTCTGATTTTTAACTTAAAAAAGATTAGAGACAACTGACCAAATAGAAGTTAAAATACTCAATTCTCACACTCGCAAGGGAAAAGTGCACTGCTTTAACTTGTCTCTTTTCAAACTGCATGAACTAAGATCCCAGTGGATCCACTGATTTTGATATTTGCTCTCACTTCCTATGAAGCTTAAAACAAACTGGATTTGCTATAAATGGGGTTGTAAGCTATAAGAATAGGTTTGAATGGGTGTTTCTAAGTTCACTTAATATTGGGTTGAACTTCAAAAACATTCTTATGAAGATGAACAATTTTGGAATTCAAAGAAGAGGTAGGAGTGAGGAAAGATGACAAGGAATACATATTCCAACTACTGTGGACCAGCACAGCCAGGAGCAGCTAAAGGAAGCTGCTGTAAATCACCGTTCCTAGGAACGGCCCCATTTGTGCCAACCTGAAAAATCTAGGAAGTACGTGAGTGTCAGAGCCAGCTATGCCCTGGTCAACCCGAGCTGCAGCCTCTGAGTCGTGCAGGTCAGAGCAGCAGTCTCATATATAACCTTAACTATAGAGCAGTGACCTCTGCTCTAAACAGTTTTATGCCATGAACTGAAAATAGTTTTTCCAGATATGTCAAACCTATTTAAGAAAATCTCTGCAGCATGGATTTGCCATGCGTTATGTGAAAGATCCTTGCAAAATATTCAGAGAATGCATAACGGTGGGTTTTGGCATGTTTCCATACCTTGAAGCATGTATAAGCACTTGGCCATGGTTTGAAATTGAGCTGCCTAGCAGCAATAGGGCCAAACCTTTTTAGCTTTGCTTTAAACTATTAAAAGCACAAAAGAAATTAAATACAGCAGACTGCATCAAGTAGTATAGTTTTGAGTTAGGCCAGCAAAAGCAAGTAAATTCAGGATCAGATACCTATGTCCTTAGGTTTAACTGTCTGTCCTAGTGCTATGGTGCATGTTGCACAGTAAGTTGCTCATTTCAGGCTAATGTATTAGACAGGAGAGAATATGAAGACAAAGCAGTACTTAATTTCCTCCCTGATATCTTTGGTGGCTTAAGACCAAATCTAATACTTTGTCTTCAATGCTCTACCTTCCTTGGGAATTGCACCAAATTCCACAGGAGTTTAGAGTGTGACTGTATGTTAGAGTAAAGCTATTAGCATTAAATATTTAACTTTTATACTTGGTACTCCCCAAGGATGCAATTTGTATTTGCACACTGACATGACAACATGATTTGTCTGCCAGGACGTTGTCCAGTCAACTGAAAAGAATCAGAAATGCAGGGCCAACATCTACTGTTGAGAAGCAGGCAAAAAAGTACTATTTAGACACTTCTAGTGTTTGTCATTCTGCTACACCAGTGCCTAAAACAGAACTTAATGGGCCATCCAGCCTTGTTCAGCACACCCAAGAACGGGAATCTCCCGGGGCCCTAGCATTTTTATAAAACAGATGTTATAGTAAATTTCCCACAGTCACATCTATTAACTGCTTGAAGAAGCCTCCTTCTCTCTTGCATATGAATTATGGTGCAACAGTTAGTGTCACTTTTAAGTAGCTAAATCAACTTTAGATCATTTTGACAGAATTGGATTAGGGAGCAACTCTACGTGCAGTTATACTGGCAGACGAGAAGTGGCACTACTGTGGCAGTAGCCATCAAAGTGTTTAACACAACAGAGGAGAGCTCAGTATAATCTTCAGTATTTTTGTTTAAAGGAACACTTACTATTTTGTATTTGCCTTTATCATATTAAAATCCTTGATTTTATCACTTATGTAACTGGATAACCAAAATGACTCACTGTCCAGGAAAATCATTTGCTAGTTGTATTCTGGCAAACCAGTCTAATCCTGCAGCATGTAGATTGCAAGTGACAAGGCTGTGTTCAAGAACTGGGGCGGGGGGAACTTGAAGAAATCTCTCTTGGAGAACTTATGACAGAGTTTATGAATATATGCCTAAGTCCTACAGACCTTTTCTTTTTAACCTTACAAAAAAGGTAAGCAGTAGTGTTCCGCACCTTGTTGCGTGAAGAGGCAATGAAGCCAAGATACGTCATATGTCTGCTCTCAGTTTGTTGCCTAATCTATGCTCCTGCAGCTTACAAGAAAGTGCATTACATGTCCTTTCCTTCAACTGCTCTGTATGCAACAGCTGCATTTACCTCCTGATACCAGAAAGGCCCCTTCTAAAAAAATGTAAATTCCAATGTAATGGTAATCCTTCAGGCAGTGAAACTCTGTTCAAACTGTTCATTCTGAAAACCTGTAACTGCTATTAAAGAAGCTGAGGTCTTGAAAATATTTTTGATTTTGCAGAAGGTAAAATTACATTCGTATATTTGATCTTGAGTGAAAGGGTTAAATTCCTCTTTAAAAATACTTCTGGCAACAGAAGCAAAGACTTCCTCATTGGCAAAAAATAATCTCTTCTCCTACACTCTGGAGAGAAACTCGAATTTTAGATGCATTGGTTGGGGGGGGGGGGGGGGGGGCTCTTTTACA